TTCTCTCACACAAGTTAGATCTGCCCTGGAACATTTTCATAAATACCTTGATCTTGCTGGGTATCCCGGTTCCCACCCTATCTTCTTCCTCTCTTCGATCTCCTTCCCTTTCATTTCTTTGTTGCGAAGGTTCTCAAACTTAGCATTTTACTTTTTCTATGACATTTTATATTCACCCCACAAAGTATTGAAAGTTAGCAGAGGAGCCCCTTAAGGAAATTCTTCCACAGACTGCTCTTGCTTTTTTTTTCTCCATTTCTCAAGTTAATTCCTCTATATGGCTGAGTAATACTCCACTCAATTTTTAAATACTTTTATTTTTATTTATAGAGAAAAATATATTTGATATTAGAAATGATACATTTTTAAAAAATAAGATGATATAAAATTAACAATGGGTGTTACATTGCATATTGTTGTATACAAAGTAGTTGCTCAGATGTCAAGATATAATTATGCAAAATGTCAAAATAAAAATTTTTAACATTAACAGCTCCAAAAAAAAGTGTATAAAATCTGGGGGGCCGGGGGAGATAGCTCAGTAAAAAGTGTATAAAATTAGTAGTACAATAATCTTACCTATCCTGTATATATATATACATACATGAGTTTTCCTATTCTTTTTTCTTTTTGCTGTCTTCTCATCCTGATTGTTCATTTCTTTTCAGAAGTTTCTTTACCTTTCACTATATCTATTGTACCTTTCAGATTTTATTTGTTCTTTCAAGTTCTTACACTAGGGAGAAAATATGATGTTTACATATGGAGGTCTGATTTGTTTCCCTCATGGGTATGGCCTCTAGTTGCATTCATGTACCTATGAAAGCCTCTACTATATCTTTCCTTATAGATGCAACATATTCCATTGTATAAAAATACCACACCTTGGTTCTCCATTCCTCAGCTGATAGAGATCTGAGTGGTATCCAAGACAGAGCTATGGCCAAAGGTGCTTCATAGCCGTGGTGCACACACAGCACTGTGGCATGATGCATTTAATTCTTCTGGAAAAATACCCAGGAGAGGAACAGCTGGTTTGAAAGCAACTTCCAATCCTAGTTTTTTGAGGGATCTCCTCACTGATTTCCGGTGTACACTACCATCAACAGTGGAAAAGGGTTTCTTTCTTCTCAGAACCTCTCGATTTGGTATTAGTTGATTTCTATATGATAGACATTCTTCCTGTGGTGAGATGGAATCTCAGTGTTGTCTTAAATTTTGTTTCTCAAATGACAGTGATGTTGAACATATTTTCATATATTTGTTTGCCATATGTATTTTAACATCGGAGAAATATTGTAATGTTTGGATTGGATATATTGCCCATGGAAGACCAAATTAAAACTAATTATTGAATTTTTATTAATTAGTTGGCAACCTATGTTCTCCCCTCCCCATCTGGGAAGTCACAAAAAGCCTGTTTCTTTGTTCCCCACTGCTTCTATAGCTTCTTTGTTGCGATGGCAGCCAGGCAGGACTGTGGTGTCCCCTATACCCTATAGGTGCTTGGTCACAGTAGAAATGTGACTGCCCCTGCATCCTATAGGTACGAGATCTCAGAGGGGTTTATGGCTTAGCATGGACAAATAGTCTGTTGTCTTATTGACCTAAATAGGTACTGTCTCATCCTTTTTTCCTATATGTTTGTGAAGCTTCTGACAGGGCAAGGGAAGGAGTGAGGAATGGGGTAATTTATGCAAAACTACTTCTATGTAAATACCTCAGGCAGGAGTCAATATAACATGGAATGCTGCCTCAGTCTCTTCTACTTCTAAAAGTGAATAGGAAATTATGCTAAATGCCATCCCTTTTAGTATCTATTCATCTCGGGTGTCCATTTTTACATTGGGTCTTTGAAATTTGGAGGCCTGCTTCTTATTTACATATTCTAGATAGACGCCTTATCTAAGGGACTATTGGCTAAGATTTTTCCCAAATTGTGAGGATTTTCTTTTCACTCTGTTGGTGATTCCTTTTGATGTGCAAAATCTTTTCAATCACAGGAAATCCCAATTGTTGATTCTTTGAAGTATTTCCTGTGCATTTTGCTTTTTCAAATTTTTGGTCTATGCATGTCTTCAACAAATGTACCTAGTACCTCTTCCAGTAGTGTCCACGTTTCCCCCCACCTCCATTTCTTAGTTCCTGTCCAATTTACAAAAGATCTAACTCCCTGTATTCTATGATGAGACTCTGCTTTTCATCCCTGGATGAACAAGAAGCATCATGGTGGAAGTGACCTACTCTACCGCTTAGCGCACCTGCTGCAGAGAGAACAGCCTAGGTACGGTCTTCAGTGCACATAAAGTTGGGAGCAAATTTTCTCTCACCTTTCTCACTGGTGGAGGAGGCTGTAAAGACTAGAAACATCAGTCATTGTGGTCTTGCTTAAGAGAAATCAGTCATTTCCTTGAAAGTATGGGAAGCGATGAACTAAGATTCTTTCTGGAGCAAATGGGGACATTGGGAAGAAAATGGAACCAGAGAATTTGTACAGCCTACAGTGAGTGAAGACATGCACTAGGAAAGCCAGAAAAGCAGGCAAATTGGATAAAATGCAACAGGCACCTTCAAGGCAGGAGACACCATGTCAAAGGTGCAGAACACAAAAGGCAGAGGGTGTAAGAAAGTCTGAGGGTTTAGCCCACATAGTGTCACAGGCTCTGAACATCCCCAAGACTGAAAAATAAGAAATTTCAGAGTCTTGAAAATCTCCAACAGGAGCTGGAGGAAAAGTCAAAGGAAAGGGCCAAGGTTCAAGGATCAAAGCTGTCAGACACCACAAACACATTCAACTTGAATTTCTCCTTCACACCTGTGACCCAGAAGCCACATTTAGATTAACAACAAGGAACACTGAAGGTAAAGGGGATTTGGAAGTATGCTCCATCACTTAATCCGAGTAGTCCTCTTCCTGTGAATACTTCCATGAATTGTTAGGTCTTAAGGCCTGGTGCTTTCCTTTCTTTTTGGAATTTGGCCTTGGATTATCTACAACAAAAGGAGCCCATGGATTGTTGCTTGGAGAGGGTTTCACAAAAGCTGTGGAAAAATTACAAGATGGGAGAGGGTCACAGTGAAACACCACATGTGATGTCCCAAGAGGATTCTGGCATGGCCTTATTATTATTATTATTATTATTATTATTATTATTATTTGGTAGAACCAGGGATTGAACTCAAGTCCTTCGGCTTTGCCTGGGAAGCACTTATTCTACTCAGCCACCTCCCCAGTCCATGCAAGACCTTATAAAAAAAACAGCTGGGAAGCACTTCATTCAGGATTCTTAAGGAGAGTAGTACATTTGTAGAAACACACTGTCCACGTGTTGGGAGAGAACTATGGATCTCAACACATGAGAAATGAGGTTGGAAATGCATGGAAGACAAAGAAGCTTATGAAACTATAACTCCTTTTTAATCCATTGATATCAAACATCCATTAGTCTTTTGTGTGTGTGTGTGTGTGTGTGTGTGTGTGTGTGTGTGTGTGCAACTGGGGATTGAACCCAGACCCTTGTGCTTGCCAGGCAAGAGCTTATTCTATTGAGCTATCTCCCCGGTCTTAATCCACTAGCTTTGAGAGGTCAATAATTAATCATAATAAATTCAGCTGAGGGAGTCACACCCACGTCCATTTCCTCTCCAGTCTAGGGAAAGCAAGGGAACTGCCATTGGCCAGGGAATTGGTGACTAGGGATGAATGGTTGCTCCCCAATGATGTGATCACAGCCCCAGCAGATACTAATTTTCCCTCCGCTCCTGTATCCGCATTGGACACTGTTCTATATTCCCTAATGGACTCCTGCCTTCTCTACAGCCCCCAGCTACACCCTTCAACTAACTTTTTTCACTACACCCTGCTCACATTTAGCTGCTATTAGTGCTTGAGCCCAGTCATACTGTATGCTAGGTCAGTGCTCTTCCATGGAGCACATCTCCAACTCTCTAAAAATTTGAGTCAAAGACCCCCTAACTTGCTAAGCTGCTCAGGCTGGATTTGAACTTGCAGTCTCTCTGCCTCAGCCTTCTGGGTAGTAGGATTATAGGCAGGCATGGATCATTGCACCCTCTTAGCACTACTGACCTAGATGAGATTGGAGATACTGTCTCAGATCAGGAGCTTGGAACACCATCTTCTGTCTCTTAGGACAAATTCTTGGTTTCTGCACAGTCAATGACTTACTCCTAGGAAGGAATAAATGAACTTCATATCTCATAGCATTGTCTTTCAAACACCACCTACATCTATTATTTCATTTCATTTTTGCACGTAAAGTTTCCTCACTGGTGATTTCAGGAAAGGAAAAGGAAAACCACTGATTCTGATGTCATCAGAAACACATCTGCCTTTTTAACCATTTGCTGTGACCTTTGGGGGATCATGACCAGTCAGAAGTAGAGTTTTCACTGCTTAATGATTTCACAACAATCCCCCAAACCCTCACCTGATATTAAAACACCATAAAGTATGGAAGAGTTCATGCCATGGGTGCAGGCTCTGGAGAATGGTTGGTCAGTGCATTTGCAGTATCCAGCTCTTAGGAGTCTGGGCTTATCAGCACAGGAGCCCTACCTGGAGGAGCCCAAGAAATTCACAGCTCATTCCCTATGGAAAGGTGCTCAGATGCCATCTGAGATTTCAAGATTTGTTTTTTTCTCTGGGAAAATTACAAATACTTGGCAAGTAAACACAAATCTAATACTGCTCTGAATTCCAGAAGTTTGGAAAAAGTCTGTGCTGCCAGGCAGGTGTGCAACTGTACACAGCAGAATGAGGCCTTTCCTAGTTGTTCTCAACAATATGACAGAGGTGCATTAACTGTTTACATTTGGGTCAAAATTCTGGTTCCCGGACTCAAGTGTGATTTTAGATGTGATGTCTACCATTGCTAGTGGAAAAACATAAATTGCTGTATGTAGGCTTGATTACCATGGACAATTCTTGGTACTTGGTAAAGAAGGTGTATTTAATCTATGATAAAGCAAGCACGTATTGAATATAAAGCTTAGAGTCACATGGAAGTTCACAGTGAATAAAACACAGAGGCCAACGAGGTGGAGAATGTGCCATGATATCCTCAATACCACTAGTGTTCCTGCCCTGACTCCACACAACTCCAGCGCCTGCAGTACAATTTGGGTCCTGCGGCTCTATTCTCAGTAGGACTAAAATAACTGAACTCTGGTCAGTGACAAGGTGCATCCATAATGCCTTCTCGCACACAACATTTGAATCCTTGGCTTCGCACACGTACCTTTCTATGGTGTCCTTCACACCCTGGAGAGAAAGAAGCAAACATGAGTTAACAAGTTGTGGACGTGCCTCCCTGACAAAGTTCTATCATTTTTCACAAGCTGTAATATGTTGAGAATGGAGATTTTCTCAGTGTGACAGAGAAAAAAGCAAGGAAAGACTCAATCCACCCACCCCATGGCTGCCTGAGAGATGACTGATATAATACATGATTGTTTCACTTACTTTACAGAAGCTTACAGTGAGTCACTATTATTTTTCTAGGTATCAATGAGCTTTGAAGAATCAGAGAAAAAGAAATAATAATTCCAGAAAAAAGATACATTGCTTTTGCTGAAGGGACAAGCAAACAAGTGTTTCAGCAGATGTCTCTTGTCATTGCACATGTTAACTAATTCTATTTCTGCTTTGCTTTGCCAGTTCAATGCAGTTTAATACATTCAATATTGAAGAAGCCATTAGGATGAAAAATAGAATGTGTGATATTCAAAACCAAATATGACCCTTTGTCTCTCATAAACCATTGCCCTAAAATTTATAATATTCATCCTGAATTCCAGGCTGCCTTAGCCCAGTGTACCAATTCATGGGTTTGGGCCATTTATTCATGTACATGGCACATACACTTTTGTTTGCAGAGAAATATGAGGATGCACTTGGTGTTCTTCACTGTGGACTTCCTGCTGCTTATAAAAGTTATTAGCAAGAAATAAGGCAAGAGCTGCGTTCGCCACACTTACACATGCACATACACACATACATACACAGTATTGCTCTTCATAAGAGCACTCAAAATAGTATTCATAACATAAATAAATTATGTAAGGTAAAAAGGGTCTTGTTTTCAGAACAGGGGATTGAACTCATGCCCTTGCGCTTGCCAGGGAAGCACTTATTCTACTGAGCCATCTCCCTAGCTCTAAAAGGGTCTACTGTAGGAAGTTATAACTACAGAAACTGCTGATTACACCTCACAGTTATGTTTAGGGTGGCTCTCCATTCTTCTTGAAATTCACAAATTGCACAGAAAGGAAAAATGATTCTCCTAATAACAGCTTTGCAGAAATAAGAACTCTTCCTCTAAGTTTTGCTAAAAGGTTTCCAGCCGGTATGGCGCCCTCTGCGTTAGATCAGACAGCCACCTTAAAATCAACAGTGTTGCTGCTCCAATCATAGGACCTAGACTGAGTCTCTAAGTTTAGGATTCACTGGTACACACTTCCAGACACGCCAACAGTGCACACACTTCTGCGGTAGCAGAAGTGCACAGAGCCCAGCAGGTGAGCCACAGCCAGCCTGAGATCAGTTGGAACTTAGAAGGGCTCCCCACCCAACTTCTCTTGCAGGCAAACAGAAGACCTCCTTGGAATGGGGTGCAGCCTCTGCTTAAGGGCAGAGGTCAGCTAAAGATGCACCGACACTCAAGGGAAACGTGAATACCACCCTGAGTTGACTAAACTCAGCAGAGACATCAGTACTTCTAGGAAAATAACCACACAGAAAGTGACAAACAACCTTCTTAGAGGACAAAAGGATGAGAATCCAGGATGAAAGAATATTATTGTATCTAATATTATATTATATAATATATGTATTGTTAATATAATGTTTTTTGGGGGGCTAGCTCTGACTGCCTTAATGGTGGTTCTGGTAAGGCAGATGAAGCTGGAGATTGAACTGGGGACCCCTGGGCCTGACTGGATTTTCCAGAGCAGACACTTAAACAATTGAGCTAACTCACAAGTCTACCAATAAAATTATTAAAAATGTCAATATTACAATTGAAATGAATGAGAAATACAAGGACAAAAAATGTATGAGTGAACTCAGGAGAAAAATATGAAAAGAATAAACTGAAAATAACTGAGAATGACCCTAGATATTAGATTTCAGAGATTAAAAACTTCCAAAGACCCACAAAAAAAAAAAAAAAAAAGAGTAGGGCTAGGGAGATGGCTCAGTGGAA